AATTTTAAAAAATTAGAGACTAAAATGAAACTCTTTTGAACGCTTGGGGATCTAAGCAGCTATTTTCCCAAAGCGAAATGTAAGGCGTCTCAGCCACCTACTCTTTGCTCCTCCCCGAAAGGGCTGCTTTGCTTTGCCTCTCATAGCTTGTTTGAAAATGATTAAAATCAGATTAAAATTGAAAAATTAATCGTTATTATTGACTTTTATTAGACGAGTGAGACCCAATAACGATTATATTTTCAATTTTAGAGCTTGTTTGTCTCCCATTATTGGGAGAAAATTAGTGTAATGAATAGTATTTTTTGGAGAATGTGTGGTTGAAAATTAAAGTAACTTTATTGGTTTGTACGTAGAATATTTTATTGGGTGAATATGTGGTGGAAAATCTTACTGTAGCAAATAATTTTTTGAATTAATGATAGACGAATAAGGGCTTAATCCGAATAAAATCCCTCCCAAACAAGCTTTCAAACAACCCACCACTACATTCCCAAAATGACCCTGAACTCCTTGACATTCCCATCTAACTCCCTGCGCTTCTCTCCCGCATCCAAATTCACCTTCATTTCTTCATCAAATCATACTTTCACTCAACACCCACGTCCACCTCCAAGAACCATACCTGTTTCCATGTGCCTCTCAACCCGACCCAAAAATAATCCAGGCCCGAAAAGGAGAAAAGGAACTTTTCATTTTCCGAAGCAGAGGAGCTGGTTCGTTCAGTCTTGAGAAATTTCAGAGAGAAAAAACCATTGGTGACTACTCTCGATAAGTACGCGAAGTTTTTGAGAACTGAGCATTGTTTATGCTCTTTGAATAGCTTGGGAAGAATGATAAATGGCTGCAGTGTCTTGAGGTTTTGCCCCTTGTCAAAGATTTCATTTTTTTTTTTTTTTTGCATCATTTTCTTATTGTTCACACATTTAGTAAACTTCTTGAGCTATCTGTTTTAGTTATCTAGGTATGTTAGGGATTGCATCTTTAGTACTTTCCGTTGATTTTAGCAATTTAAATGGAAATTTGAACATTGCCCTTTTTGCACTTTTATTTGCCTGGAGCCATGCCCTCTACAAACCCTACATTTTAGTGTCATTCTTTTGACAATGGCCCACTGTCTTGAAATGTATTCAGAGAACAATGTGATTTCTAGAAGGGGGCGAGGAACGCCCTTGTTGTAACTCTTATGTGTACAAATATTCGTAGTTGATTTTATCATTTTACCTATGCAGATTATCTTGCTTGTAGAGTTTATAGACCTCATTCTAGTTTTACTAAGATAAAACTCTGATATCTCAAGCTCTGTCTTTGTAATTTCATCCATGACAGAATAATATGCATTTTTTCATAGGTCTTTTCAAGCGCATATCCTAAATGGTTCATGGTGAATTTTATTGTGGTGTCTGTTTTTAGGGGATGGGGTGAATTTTATTCATGTACCTGAGCACGCGCAATTTTGCTATACTCTTGTCAATGCGAGTGCCTGTGGATATGTGGTGGTTTGCCGCATGTGAGTGTGCTTGATAGAAGATGTAAAATTTTGTTATTCAATGTCATGGAGTTTTAGTAAGAAATGTATTGGTACTGCTACCTTAATCACATAGATATAATTCTAATATAAATGCAAATCAAGTGGAACTTGCTGTTGGGATACACTGACGCTGGACTTTGATCGAGCTAATATTAATTTCTTTCTGAGATGCTAACTATATCAGGTGTCATCTGCTCATTTTAGCCTCCCCAATCCCATCTACCTTTAATTACAAAAAAATTACATTGCAGGTACTATGTTAATATGTAATCTTGCATTACTATATACGTAAGAGTTGATATCCTGTAAAATCTCCGAGTTATTGCTATGAGACAGTATTTAAGTAATTACCAGAGGTCAACTATGCAACAAAAATAGCCAGAGTTCAACTTTCCTTTGAAAATGCATTGTCGTATTCACTTAAATGTTAATTGAAAATCCTGCAGAGGTACTCATATGTGACTTAGAAAACATAGGAAAAAACATCAACTGAATGGATAGCTCCTGTATTGGTAAATCTAGATAGAAGAGTATAGGTACTAGGTAGTGTTACCTATCCCATTTTCTGCGGTTAAACTTTCCGTAAATTTTTATATTTTCTCATTGTCACACTAGCTTACAATTTAAATGAACGTGTGAAATAAGTAAGAGAAAAATATAAAGCACCCACTATGTTTGTAGATGCAAAATAATCACCAAGGGCAAGTAAAAGAAGAGAGAGACTATAGAAGAATATACAATGAACTGTTATTAAAAAAAAAAAAGGAGCTATGGGCTAGGAATTATATTTTCACCAAGTAGGTAGTATAATCAGAAGTTTTAATGAAATGAAAAATCACCAGGGGTGGGGGAGTTATGTGCTCATCTATAAAAATAAAAAATAAAAAAATGGAAAAGAAATAATTTAAAGGCAGTTCATTACCTCAGACTAATACTTGTCTTGTAGTTTCTTGCATAGAAGTAATAGCTGCTCTTTTAATTTATGTGGCTGTTGTTGGATCGATGACTGATGGTGGGTTATGGCTTAGTAGTACGCTGAGGGGATATAAGTTACTGGACAAAAATGTTTAGGGGTGGTAAAGCAAATTCTGAGGCATCTTAGTCCCGGTCAACTCAGAAATCTAAGGTAGGAAGGCACCACCCCATCTTGTGTCCTTTGTTACTATGCACTGAGCTCCATTAACTTTAGAATTTTGTTCTCATTAACAAAATGAAGGCATTCTTTACTTATATCTCTAACATTCAGGTGTTCAGATGGATACAAAAATAATGGTTTTAAATAGCGGATAATGGGGTTTATTCTAAGTTCATATCAGTTATGGGAAAAAAGGGGCAAACTCGGATAGTCATTTGGCTTTTTTTCTGAGATGCGTGATAGTATTATTGGCTGTAGGCCTGATACGTCGTCTACAATGCACTTATCACGGTCCACCTTCACTCCAGGGATAAATCCAAGGCACTGGCCAAGGCTCTGGGATACTTTGACAGATGAAGGGAATGGAGTGTTGTAAACCAAATGTTGTAACGTATAACATTCTTTTGTAAGCTTTTGCTCAGTTAAAAAATGTCGATCAAGTTAATGTTTTGTTTAAAGATCTTGATGAGAGCATTGTGACCCTGGATATATTCAAATTTAACCGTGTGATGGATGCCTAGGGAAAAAATGGGATGATCAGGGAAATGGAGTCTGTGCTTTCTATGATGAAGAGCAATCAGTTGAATCCAGACATCATCTCATTTAATTTGTTGATCGATTCCTATGGGAGGAAGCAGGAATTTGAAAAGATGGAACAAGTGTTCAAGAGCTTACTGCGTTCTAAACACAAACCAACACTTCCTACATTCAATTCCATGATCACAAACTATGGCAAAGCATGTCTCAGGGAGGAAGCGGAGTTAGCTTTTCAGAAAATGACTGATATGAGATACAAACCAAACTTCATCACATATGAGTGTCTTATTACAATGTATGGATACTGTGACTATGTTTCACAAGCAAAATAGATATTTGAGCAGGTGGTTGAATCTGAGGGGAAAAAGGTATCGACATTGAATGCGATACTTGATGTCTATTGCATGGATGGCTTGCCTATGGAAGCCGACGTTCTTTTTGAAAGTTCTTCAACACTGTTTACCATTGATTCCTCTACTTACAAACTTCTTTACAAAGCCTACACTGAGGCTGACATGAAGGAGCTACTAGAGAAATTGTTGACGTGTATGGACAGAGATGGCATTATCCCAAACAAAATATTCTTTCTCGATGCTTTGGGAGGCATTGGGTCTTCAGGTCAAACCAAAAGTCAACCAGAAAGATAGATGGTTCAAGCAGACAGACAGTCTCTGCAAAGGCATAGGTGGATGAATACTAATTCGGCGCACTCTTCTATCCATCCGTGACTATGCTGAGGTCATAGAAGAGCTTTTCTCGTGAAAGGCACTCTTGGTTCTTACAGACTACTTGCACAATTTGGTTCCCATCCTTATGGTATGTATATACTTTCTACTTTTATCCAAGTGATCTGTCATCATTGAAGCCACAGTACTTGACGTGTATTTGTCAGGATGAAAAGTAACTTTTAACTCCAACTTAAAATTTCCAATTTTCCTAATGTATTGGAGAAAGGTGTTCCCTTCCAACATTCCTTCTTCCACTTTATTTTCAAAAATAAAGAAGAACAAAAATCTTCTTTCCTCCTCTTTGTTATTTGGATTTCAAAAGTATCCTTTTTGTTGGTTTCAAGAATCCCGTCACTCTCTTAAGTTACTTGGGGTTTCTTGGTAATCATAATGGAGTGTACATATAGGTCACAAACTCTTGATTCTAAAAAGTTGAAATATATAGTAATATATGTACCAGCTTGTAGTCTTTATTATTGTTAGGGACTAAAGTGCAAATTTTCCTTTTTCCATCCTGTATATATTTGGTTTACATCTATCAATAATTCAAAGAGAAAGTAGGTGAAAACGAGACCCTTCCGGCCCCAGTAACTTTGACAGAAGTCCCATTAGCCACTTGAACATATTGAACGTGCAGAGTTTTCAATGAATTAAATGTAGAGGGATTACAGGTAAAATGATCGGTAGCTTCAGAATTTATAACCGAAAAATCAGATGCAATAGAAGTAGATTGCAACCCAAAAATACCTTCCCCAGAAAATGATCGAGCAACATGGAAAACAGTAGATATAGGTGTAGGTGAATGAGTTGTAGCGCGAATGAGCGCATAGCCTGAGGTACCTACCTCGCTTTCCTCTTCTACTCCTATCTCTGTTTCTGA